ATTGCTGGTAACTATGAGAAAATAATATTTTAAAGTATGTTTTATGTATGCATTTTATAAAATTTAAATGGTTTTTAATGTGCTGTTATGAATAAATAAAAAATAAAAATAATAAAAGATTATAGTTATGAACATTTAACAATTTAACCCATTTACTTTTTAGCTTATTATAAAAATGTTAGATTACCTTTATATATAATATTCTACTGTATATTGGATGTTTAAAATAAAGCTGTGCAAATTAATTTTCTTCGACTAGTCAAATATGAAATTTCCAAAAAAATTTTAATTAGTAGTTAGTTTGTTAAAATAATAAAAGTGACTAGTTTCTTTATGGTTTAAAATATAAATTTAAAAAAACTATTCACTTAAATGTTTAGTAGGTATTACATTAAATGAGAAATTATCTGACTAAAATTATTATCGATAATTGATTAATTAAATTATTTAATAATTAAGCATTTTATCAAATATTTCAACTGCTTTTAAGTATTTAACTTAATTTCTTGTAAACAGTCAATAGGAATATTTATACATAAAATAAAAATATTGGACACACAATTGACCACACAAGGATGGTAACAATCTAAAATTAAACCTTTTTAGAAGAGGAGGGCACTTTTTTTAAAATATAGAAAAATTATGTCATAAATTATTTGTACCTAAGAAATAAATATTAAATTTGCAATAATTTAATAAAATTATTTTATTTTTACAGTATTAATAATAAATTTTTAATAACAATGTTATGAAATAGAATATATGACAATATTTAAATATAATATATCCTAGACTGACAAATCATCTCCGTTCAGAATTGTTTTTCGTATACAATGATACCTATCATTGCATTCAAATTTAATCTATCCTAGTCCGAGGTTCACCCTACCCCCTAATGAACAACAGAGCGGTACCCACTTGCCCGCTTTTTTATATTTGTTTACTATCATAGTTTAACATCTATAATATTAATAATAACATGAAAAATGAAATACATTACTATATCCAATATTATCGTTTCTCTTCTAATCTCAATTTTTACTATTTATAATAACTTTTCACCACACATTTTTTAATTTTTTAATTTAATACATATCACATATTTGATAATTAATCTTATTCTTTTAAAAAAACTCATTCACGTTTCTGAGTTCTAATTGATGTTTTAATACAAACAATTCACAGCAATATATTCATATTATTATATTATATTACACAATTTATAAATAACACTCATGCATAAACCCAATAAATGATCCACATAAATCATACATTTATATTGTTGTGGTAAAATGTACATTATTTACACTTTGTGGAATATTATTAGAATTAATTGGTTGGCGGTATAAAACTGATCATCCTAACTGCAAATTACTATTGTAAGATTAGATTTACACTAATTAATTTTTAATTCGATTTATTTGTATAGTTTAAAAATATTCAAAACTCTATGAACCTTCTGGTTATCTATATATATAAATTATAATTATTGAAATTTATAGGACGATTAGATTTAGTCGATGCTGACACTTTAGGCTGGTGGTTAGCTGAAAGGCAATTACCATCTGGTGGACTTAATGGACGACCTGAAAAGTTACCAGACGTTTGTTATTCATGGTGGGTGTTTTCAACATTAAACATTTTAGGACGTGACCATTGGATTGATAAAGAAGAATTAAAAACCTTTATTTTAGCATCCCAAGTAAAGCTTTGGATCTTTAAATCTAAATAATCCATGAATAAAATAGTATGGTAATATCTATAATAATATATAATTTATGATCTATTAACAGGATAATGAAGGAGGTGGATTCAGTGATCGTCCTGGGGATGAACCAGATCCTTTTCATACTCTTTTTGGTCTTGCAGCATTATCTCTAATGTCATATGATAAAATTTTACCAATTGACCCTACTTATTGCATGCCAAAAGCAGTTATTAACCGATTAGGTTTAAAACCTCAAACTTTGTCCCGACCTTAAAAAGTAAGTTAACATAGATTACTATTAAGTTTATTATTGTAATAAATATTGTATTAATTATATTATGCACAGATTTATAAAAATTAATATCTTGTAGATTCTGCAATGAATATTTTATGTTGTAGTATTTTCTTCACGTTCTGTATATCTTCTACATTATATTTGAGTACTAAATTTTTATTTCAGTTTTACATAACTAAAATTTATAAATACAATTGTGTAAACAATTTTTATTTTAAAATAAAATGTCCTGCTGTGATTATTTGTGAAATATTCATTTATATTAGAAATATGTTTTATTTAAATATTCTGTAGTTATTTGTATTGAAATCAAGCAAACACATTTTTTGTACTAACAATGCTGTTCATGCATTTAAATTTAATCATTCATATAAAATCATTCTATAAAAGTAAAATGGGCTTTATAGTACCTACATGTTTTAAGTTTTTCATTAAAAATTATAAAATCTTACTACATAAGTAATTAATATTATCTAAAATCGTGTTTTTTTTTTTTTTTTTTTTTTTACTGTATATAAATCCTATAAAATACTTTTAGTTTGCTCAAAATACAATTTAAAAAATTTCATAACAAACTTAAAGCATCGATAAGAGCTTTTTTATATTTTCTTAAAAATATAAATAATAACAATTCAAATATTATTAATTAAAACTTTTTCCAAGATATTTGAATTTCAAACATTGGAAGTAACCAATAATTAGTTTGGGTACATGATATTATGATAATAAATAATTTATAATAAAATAAATAAGTTAAACATATTTTGCGTGTCATGCAATTGTTTATATTGATATTATAATTGAATTAATAAATAAAAAGAGATTATAAATTCAAAAATGTTAAAAATCTATCTAACTTATAAAAAAGTAAATAACATGTAGATATATTATAAGTTGAGATTTTTTATAATCAAAACTATATTGTTGAAAAAAATTTTTATCTTAAAAGTTAGTATTTAATCTATTTGAAAACATGTTACATGTAATTTATTAAAAAACATATACAACAAAATAATATTTAGAAAGGGGGAGAATCAGGGTTTTACACTTACATAATTATATGATAAAAATTAATTCAATTTTAAAAAATGAAAATTGCACGATCTTTGTGAAGGAGCTCAAAAAAAAACTGTAGCGATTGAGGAAACCATAGCGATGTAATGTAATAAAAATATACAAATAAATTGTATTATTATAACGTTTAATAGACAATGGACATTATAGAATTAGAAACTACAATAATGACATTAATACAAATAATATAATAAACATTTAATTTACTCTCCTCATTAACAGAAACCACTTAAATTTTGATACTTTTTTAAAACATTAGTGTTTATATTAGAGAGCTTGTAACAATTTTGGGGTTACCTAATGTTCCTTCTATTTGCATCATTTGCAACCTTTATTATGTCATATTTCAGATGTATAGAGGCTGGAATGTTTAATGTGTACAAATATTTAAAAAACCTCATATATTTGTAGATGCAATATGTACCTAGAAATACTCGTGACCAAAAATATGATATAGATTTAACATAAAAATTAGACAAAAATACTATGCTTTCTATATCTAAAACAACTTTACAAAAAAAAAAAAATTCAATTCCATTATGCATTCATTTATTCAATAAAACTCATATTTTACATTTTTAACATAATTTCTACAGCTGTAGTAAATATTGGTTAAAACTTATGACTTATGAGTAATGTGTACAGTTAAGTACTGATCAGAACTAATAAAGTTGTATTATTTATTATTTGAATATATAAAAGTACTTAACTTATAGTGTGTAACAGGTAACTTTCAATAATTTAGAGGCAACAGCCAAAAGCTATAAATATAAACAAGACCTACTGGAAAATAACTAAGTATAAAAATACATTGTTAATTATAATATATTAGTCAAGTATTTGTATACACAATATATATTATAAATAAACATAAATTATTATATTTTTTTTATTGATTGAAAAATTATTCTCAATCTCATGGTCATAGTTTGTCAGTTATATAATATTAATTGTGTTTATAATGTCTTTTTAGTTTCAATTAAGAAAAAAAAACTTTAATTTATTTTAAATAAGGAAGAGATCCAGTAAATTAATTTGTAGTTTATATTGATAATAATTAATGTTTAGTTTTAAAATATGTTCAGCTACACACTTTAAATCAGTTTAACTACTCATAACAATTATCTGCATAACATTTTAACTGTAGGTATACAGGAAGTAAAAAAAAATAACCTGTGTCACAAAAGCTTTGAAGTTCACCACAAATACAAATTTTTCGAAATTGATATTTATAATATTTTGATTGAATTTTGTAACTAAGCAATTTAAAACTTTAATGCTATGTAGATAAGTAACCCATAAGTTACTTTATGACTAATTTCTGCAAAACATTGATACTTAAGCTACTTCTAGTCATTGATTTTATAGTATAGACTAGTTCTAGATATAGATATAGTACAAATATACATTTGAAGAGATGAGCATCGTAATATTGACATAAACAAACATTACTTAAAAAAACAAAAATTATTTGTCGTTACGTTTTTGAAAACAATACTTTCGTCAGTCATAGCTCAAAAGATGTGCCTAATTAAAAAAAGATTTTATTTTAAATTCCAAGTATCAATTATTCTGTTGATCTGAATATAGTTTATATTGAATACGAATCGATTTAAAACGGGTTTATTGAATGCTGTGAGCCTTGATACATTACAAGTATATACTATTACCGATCAAGGCACTCAAGCTGTATTCCATATAATATAAAATATTGGTTTGCTTGTTTGCTGTAGGTATTTCGATGTACGTGATTATAGACAGGAACGTTTTAGCGAATATCAGTTAAATCAACCATAATAATACCTACATGCCATTTCGGTTATTAAAAATGGTATCTTAGGTAAAGACAATTAACTTGAAATCGTAAAAAATTACTAAGTAAGTAGGTGTACTAGTTAAGGATAATTATATTGAACACTTAAGTTCTTTTAAATAAATATGAAATATATATAATAAATTTGACTAATTATAGTTTAATCTGCAAGTACTACAGTCTATACTCTTATACCCCAATCTTCTTTAATCATATCAGAGCCCTTTTCGCCGATCATAATCGTTGGTGCGTTGATATGCGCTCCCGGTACTTCCGGCATTATCGATGCGTCGATGACTCTTAGACCGCTTATGCCGTGCACGCGCAATCTCGGATCTACCACGGCTGTGGGATCACCCACCGGTCCCATTTTGCATGTGCCCGACAAGTGATAGATTGTAAAACTTATTTGTCTCGCCGAGCATTTCCAGTACGCGTCCGAATCGAATTTGTGTTGGACGCAACCGGGCAACGGGGTGTCGAATAATTGGGCGTCGAGCTTCTTCATCGCGTCAGTTTTCAACATCTGTTGGAAAATCCGCACTCCGGCTACGGCCACGTCCAAGTCTCTTTCGTCCGCAAAGTAATTGGGATCGATCAGTGGATAGTGGAACGGGTTTGCGTCTTTTAGCCACAGACGGCCCTTACTCTTCGGTCGCATAATCATCGGAAACACCGTAAAACCGTCCATGTTTTCGGTTTTCTTGTACACTTGATTATAGATCTCGGTCTTCAAACCGAACAGTCTATGAGTGTAATCATTGTCCGAAAATAGACCAGAAATTAATAGTAATTCTAAGTTCGGATGTCCATCTAAGGATCCCGGTCGGTCTAAATCGAAAAACGCCAAGGCTTCCGCAGCACCTGGTATTGTATATGGACCGTAATTATTTGAAATATAGTCTTGTGTATTAAACGGATTTTTCAGCAATCGGTCGGTTTTCAATGAAATAGTATCGTTTATCAAGACGCTTAAACCCCCTAGTGCCACGTGATCCATCAAATTTTCACCAACCGGCAAGTCTTTTATCAGTGGAATTTTTATATCTTTCAAATGTTCTTCCGGTCCGATCCCCGACAACATGAGTAATTGTGGCGAGTTTATAGCTCCACCAGAAACAATTACTTCTTTGCGTACAAACACTCTATATTTTTTACGGTTTGTTACGAATTCCACTCCTATTGCTTTTTTCGTACCTTTTTCTATAATTATTCGTGTTACAGTACTCTCCTTTTTCACATGTAAGTTCGATCTCGTTCTTGCTGGAAATAAAAAAGCTGTATTTGTACTATAACGACGACCATTCTTCATGGTAGCCTGAAAAAAATTCATAAAATATAAATATTATTTAGGACGGAAGATCAGTTTG